ATGTCCAGTCGAACGCGCAAGTACAAATGGAAGCACTGGCTAATTAGGAATTTCCAAAGAGCAGGCTCTGTCTCTCTCGTCCAGTCGATCCTTCTTAGAGGCTCTTGGTAATGTTCTGGAAGAGCCGACGGCCCCACCACGACTCCAGGTCGAAGGGCTTGAAGTCCTGTAGCGCTGGACTCGGCGGCTCAACCCAGACGGTGGCTGTCGAGGACGCGGGCACCGGTGTGTTGGCGATGATGCTCTCCACTGGACTGGCGGCGCTGTTGTTGTTGGCATCCGCCAGTGGTTTCTCGGCGGGCTTTGCGGATGAGCTCGAGTCGTAGGGATTCTGCGCCACCAGCATGTTCCACGCTGCCAAAATAAGGTTTGTTTAAGATTCACAAGCTTACAATTTTGTAAATCACAATCACTAACTCGATAGAAAGCTTTGAATATAAATTGACTGATTTTTTTAAGTAATTCCAAAAGGTAGCTTGAAGAGCAATGATCTTTAGAATAACTTTCCTAAAATGTACTTTAAGTAATTTATTCAAAAATTGTATATACTTATAAAATTATGAATTTTAAACGTTGATCAGTACTTGAAGACAGAGAATTCGATCTATACTATATACTTGTCTATTACTAACATCCCTTATCTTTCGAGTTAGAGAAGCGAAATCATAATGCCCAGACTTACAGTCATTTATGTAACGTATTATTTCCTCATGCTGCGGCGTTATCACCTCATCCTCGATCAGTTTGGTCGGCGTTATCCGTTTGGATGCAAAACTCTGTTGAAACACCGGACGCGGTATGCTGTTTTTTTTAAGTATACAAAGGGATTTCAGATTTTAGAAACAATGCCTGTGAATTTTAACGACAGCGTACTTATGCAAACCACACAGGTCCCCTCAAACATGTGGACTTTGAAAATAAATCACTTGAGGACAGTGAGGCGAGGGTGGGGGAATCTGGGTTCGACAACTTGTTACTCAGTTCGAGGAACGTTAAATGCATTTAAATTCGGAAAAGGTGGCAGTGCATTACTTGGCGTTTAACACTTGCGGATATTACAAATTGATTCAATTTGCTTGGGCTTTGACAGGGCACTTTCTTGTTAATAAATGTTATTGGTTATGCTTGTAATATTATTATTTTTATTAAAAATCCCACTATTTAGAACGCGGCTATCAAATTGGCATAGATTATAAGGTCACATCGGTGTTAATATAGATTATATCAGTTTGGCATTGGATATTGAAAGGGAGATAACAAACTTGGTACACACCGATGAAATTATTAAAGGCAGATTTTGTAACTATATTAACAAGGATAGCTGTAGGAATGTAGGGAAAGCGATTTATTTTTTTTTATCAACATAAAAACTATTGCTTTTTATACATTTTTAAAAGTAAACTCTGTTATTTATAGGTTGTTGGTAATGAGAACTGATAAGGTATCTACAGGGGGAGATAGTTAACAGTACCCAACTATTGTAGTTGACAACGATTTTGTAATTTATTGATTTGGATGTGACAATTTTGGGAAAGTCTTAACTTCGTATCTTCTGTGCAAGAATGTTTGTACTCGTCCAAGAAATAAGTGATGTATCTATACCCTCGCAATGCCCTGGAGATCCACTCATATCCAAAAGTTGTGATGTAACGCTAGAGCAACATTGTAGATTTAGCTTACTATTAAGATTGCTCTATCAACAGAGCAGTTTTAAGAAGCATATGACTAGAGTCCTAAAACTAAAAATTATATATTTTGTATGAACCGTTTTTAAATGCAGAACCATTTATAAAACCGCAATAATGGATGATTAATGAATTAATGGACCAGGTTTTACTCGCTTATTTTACTTAGCCCCTTTAGTTGAGAATACCCGAGAAGTTTCGTTGAAGTCGTGACGTAACGGACGAGGAAAAGTCAATGCCTTCGGGGCATTTAAATTAAAACGGAGCCGATAACCGACGGCTGACCCACGTGTTTCCCTGGTCTCCTAGGGAGAATATAATAAGAATATTTGCTTGGGAGCAATTAGCATTACAGTGCTAGGTCGCCACGGATTCTTGCGATAAAATGTCAGCGATAAGACGAGGGTCTCGAGCCCCCTGCCCCTCCACTTACTTTCCCGCTTTCCACATTTTCACCATGTGCTGTCTGTTTGCATAAGCACCCGCCGAGATTCAAGATTCTTACTTTTTGTGCTCCTCGGGACTGTTCAGGTCGAAACTGGCGTTCTTCCGGCCGCTTTCCTTGATGCTTTCGAATTTTTCAAAATTTTGTGCCAGGCCTGTGATGAAAGTAAGATGATGAAACGCTATTAAAAATGTATTTACAGTGGAAAACGCCGGCAAAACAAATAGTTAACAGAGAAAGAGAGAGAGAGAGAACGGGAGAGTGGGGGCGGCAGAAGAGAGAACCAATAAGAGTATGTTGTGACATAACAGCTGGGCGAAAAGTGCTCTCTTCAAAGGGTTTTGTACCATTATTAACCATTGTTATTATTGTTATTTGGGACTCACCGCGACGCGTTTTAGCAACGATTTTGCTGGGTCCCTTGTTGATAGTGTACATGGTGGAGATGGAGAATACCAGGGCAAAATATACTTTGTCCTTCCGATTTTCGTTATGTTGTTTTCCTTTCTGGCAACGAAATGTCTGGCGATGTTTGCTATGTTCTCAGGTTTTTTCCGCACTGTGCAATCATATGATCATTATTGGCACACCACCCTTCCCCGCGCCAGCTCCTTTGGCTCTATTGTCATCGTCTTGAAAGGTTACACAATACACTTTTGTTGGGGGCAATGATTCCGAATCCGATTCCGCGCTCTTTGATTTCTCGACAGCCCGTCGTATCAATTAATTTCGATTTAAGTCACCGACAATCGCTCCTGGAAAGGCGTGTGTTTTATAACGTTCTGTTCGGCGGACGAAGCTCCAATGCAAGTGCCCCATTCAAATCGCATAACGAAATGTTAAGAGAAACACCCGCTAAGAGCCATATGCTAACGCGTTCATGCGCGCAAGTGCGCGATGTTCAGCGGCTCGCACATTCTTTTTGCTGGAAATAGCATGTGGTGTTTTAAATTGCCAACTATTATTTTTTTACATTTCTCCTATTAAAATTTATTTATTTTTCTAGAAAAAATCTCATACGTTATGAGTCTAATGATATTCAGCCTCCACAAATCACGAAATCGTCTGGCGCATAAACGGTACAACCGATACACGTGCATAATCACCATATGATATGCCGCCAAGGAGTATTACCGTTTTTGGGGTGGCAAAAAATACCAACTATCGCAAGCTGCATTAAATTAATTAGGTACTCAACGATGGAAACCAGTCCCTAGGGTAAAATTAACAGCATCGAAATTTCAGTTGATAATTACCACCACTCAGCAGACCCAACAAACCTTTAATTGAGATGTGTCAATGATGACGGCCGTGTGCCGCCAAGGTAGAGTAGTACCTTGAGTCTAACTATCACTCGGCTCTCAGATCCACCACTGCATCCTGGCCGGAGTAGCCGAATCCCCAGTCCCAGAGGGCCATAGTGGATTTAGCTGCAGATTAAGGACAAGGCAATAATTACTAACTTTGATAATATTGAAAATAAATATTTTTAAAAAATTGTAATGAAGATCTTAGAAGATTACGCCGCAATAAATTGAGGATAGGCAGTTCAACGACTTTTCCGACTTGTTTATACATCTGTCTGACAAACAAGCCCAAAAAATAGACGAATACCTATGATACTTGAACCGACTTATTAACAATTAAAAGCCAATAATTATGGGGAAATCATTCGTTAACGCAAAATGGAGTATGTTTTGTATTCTTTTATGTAAAGAACAATTGGAATTTTAATCGTTTCAAGGGTTAAATAAGTTGAATAAAAGCCATGCAAAATATTGAGATTTGCACAATCTAAGCCATTTACAGCGCTTAAATCGGAACTATATGCAATATTTATTAATTGGAATAACATTAAAAAAAAGTATATACTAACTAAAGAATCATCAATTTAGTAAGAAAATCCAAGGAATGATTAGAATAGTGTGTCCTTGCCGTAGATCACGTTTAAGTTATTCTGAAATTTAAAAACTAAAATCTTATAGTGAAATTAGGAAAAAATTTAAAAGAAAAACGTTAAAACAAACAGCTTATAATTATGTAATACTGGTCTATCTATATAACTTTGTAAGTTAAGTTAACATTGATTTCGAAAAAATGATAATGAAAGTCCTATGGGAACGTAATTATAAGGTAAGCAATGGAGTTACACATATGTATTAATATAGCTTATTGCTTTTTTGTATTTGGGTACTACTAAAAAAAACTTAAGTTTTCTTATGGCTGATGCCGTATTTAAAGTAAACGATTCTAAACGCTCTACTCGTATTTATTGGCTATTGCTGTCCCTTAATATTTAATTAAAAAACACAATGCAATCACTTTTACCGGTGAATTTAAAATAAGTTAATTATATTACTGTCCACCGAGCAGGTTGTGTACAGGGTGATTTGGGCGCTGTAACGACACTGTAACACAGGGTGATTCCTCCAGTGTTTACACACTCAGCGGTACATATTACCGAGCGCGCGCGAAGTTTTGAAGACTTTTAAAAGTGATTAGAAACCAAATTAAACCAATGCATTATTAATTGGTTTCATCTTTAACCTATTTATTATAATTGTTTTGATAATCAATGTCACGTTTAATTTTGTTAAATATTTAAAATGAATATCTCTGGTATTCCTTATTTCACAGTATGGTCCATACTATTATCAGTTCATTTTATATTAAATCGAAAATAATAGCGCACCTATATACAAACAAACATAGTTCAAAGACTTTCGAATTTTTACTTCAGCTGAAAAACCTGTTCTTTAACTTAGAGAGTTTTCACAAACCTAACCCTAGTCTATCTCACTGCCAATGTGTTAAGACGGATTTTATGGTGGCAGACTAAACATTATCCCAAAAGTAAAAGTTTTCGCTACCTGCGCGCATAATTCCGAACGCATTAAAAAGGGATTAGCGAGAATTTTCAGTGGAAAATTTGATTACGAGCAGGTAACATCATAAAAGTGACAGATGCGGGAAACGGATAAGCAATATTTTCCGCACAGATATTTATGGCAGTTCTGAAATTGCGCACACATCAACTGGATATAAAGAGGGTCGGGGGCAAAAGGAAGTCAGTAGCAAGCCAGCAACGTCAAGCTTCACATTAACTTCCTGATCAACAAAGCAAAAGCGATAATGTCGACCAACGAAACCAACCAAGTACTTCAGCGCCTGAACAGCTTGAAAATTGTGGAAACTCCCAGGGAGCAACGAGAATTGGTCAGCCGGGAGTGTTATTCCCTAGACAGCAAGAAGTATCCCTTAGTACCAGCCACCCCCAGCAGCGGAGGACCAGGAAAGTTTCAAACTGAGCTCAAGAAACGTCGCAAAAACAAAATGAATCGAATGTACACTTACGAGGCGGACAAGCACTTCATCAAGGCTCGCAAGTCTTTGAATTTCTAGTCATAACACGACCCGATGTAATCACCTTAGTCATAAGCAGCATCGATTTCAAATCGTACAAGTCACATATTTTCACGCTCTAGTACAATAAAAATATATAAATACATTTAAAATATATTACGTTTCGCGCCTTTTACTGATCTATTGATATGTGGGCTACCAATGTAATTGTGGTCACACTGTTGCTGCTGCATCTGGCAACCCTGGCGATGAGCTGCTCTTGTGGCGAAGGCGCGAATTTTGAATGCGGATGCACAAAACAAGTTGGTGCTCCTCTCTAAACCAGGTACGCAGTAGTTTGGAATGTTTGAATTTTTAACATTGTTTATTGTTTTTAGCAGCAGGTGTAAGTGATATAAATTTTCTTCCTCTTCGATTCCCAAACATCATCGTTACCGATGTTTTGAAAACATCGATATTTCTCCCACCTCTAATGCGGATGCACAAGAAGCCACAATAAATAGAATATAACACAAATTTGTGTAAATACATAGAAATAAACAGCACATTTAAGATGACAGACATTACGGCAGCCAGTGAGGGAAATTCCAACAGTAGTGAAGCTCTAGTGGAGCAGCAGCAGCCGACTCCGGAGTTTTTACAGAGAAAAATATACTTTCTGGTGGACCAATTGCGTACTTACCACTCGGAACTCCCAGAGTAAGTCAAATACCAGTTTATTTTACGATTTACTGATATAAACTCATTACAGAAACCTGCAGACACGCATATCCTACGATTTACTCACCGAACTCGCCAATTGCGTCCTGAATGAGGGGATTTTTGTCATAGTAAAGGCACTAATGGAATTGCAACATGAAACCGAAAGACATTTGATTAAAATGCGAATGCAGGCGGAAAACGAGTACGAAATTGAGGTTGCCGAATGGAGGAGCAAAATCAAGGATCCCGAGGAGCTGCACCACATTTTGGGCCTAATGAAAATCAAGCACACCAAGAAACTACTCGAATCGGACAAGAAGATTATTGAAATACTAGATCAGAAGGTAAAAACTTGTCTTCGATTATTGTCTATCCTTAGCTTTCGATTTTTGAACTTTAAATTTAAGTTGTATTATAAAAAAGTCAAAAATAGTAATCTTAATCACGTAAATATCACGTAAAATGAGACAAGTGTCAAACCATAAAGTATATGCAGTTAAGATTTATATATTCCTGATAATCCACCTGTGAGAAAACCATAATCCGGAGTCAGGCCCAATGATAGTACTTACGGGTACTTTTTATGTTAGATAAATATCACAACACAGGCACTTTCAATTGGTTTACAATGGTAGGGAGATCATAAAATATGTATATGGCACCTTTACAGTTGGTTGTGTTCAGATCGGCCCATCATTAAAGATTTTTTTATTATTTTGTAGAATTTGTCCTTGGGACAATCACTAAGTTATCATTAAAGATGAAGTGCTTACTTTGTAAGATTTTACTTTATTTAAACAATACCGTTTTTTTTACCCAGGTTACCGACCAACAGTCCACACTCCAAAAGGCCGGCGTGCCCGGTTTTTATGTCACCGAGAATCCCAAAGAGATAAAAATACAAATGTTCCTGCTGGACTTCATTTTGCGTCTGAGTCGGCTAAAATACGAGCCCAACAAATAACAACTAATTATCAATCCGGAGCCAAAAAAAGACTGCACTTGACTTGTTTAAATTAGAATATTTAAGGCAATTAAATTATTAACCCTGATCAAACGTCCCAGCTGTACGATCCATTGTGGGTCCAAGAAACCTGTAGCGCTGCGCAGTTTTAATCAGCGAAGAATCGTGAGAGGGAGAAAGAGACGGGGCCGCCGGAAGACAGAAGAGCGGGAGAATTGATAAAGATAGCGCGGCTCTCTCTTTTTGCGTAGAAAGCGGGAGCGGCGGCGGTATAAATTGGACCGACCTTTCTGCAGATGCATCAGTTCAGCTTTATAATTTAAAAGCAACACATTAAATAAAAAATATTAGTGAAAACATGTCTTTGACTATTACCCCAACAGCTTCGCATCCTGAGCTCAAGGATCTGGTGAGTAATTCATCTGATAACTTGTGACAAGTGTTATTTTTATTGTCCTGCTGAAAAAAAATGTAGAAAATAATGTCCCCAAAAAGTGCCTTGTTTTTAATAATCGTTTAAAAGTAATTTGAAATATTCTGTTTAGGTTTAGCATTTCTTTTGTTTGATATTTTTGAAAAAGTGCTTGCCCAAGAACATCAAAAAATGTTAAGAGTACCTCTATTACTTTACTATTTCAAATTGAACCCACCGATTCTCACAATTATACTTAATATTCACGCAAAACGTTTAAAGTTTCTTGAACCCTTACAAGGTCGAGTGGCCAATTTTGATGTGCTTAGTCATAAAAGCGAGTTTCCGCCATCTAATGTTCAGCATAATTAAAACTCATGTGAGCACCTTTTTGTTGGCTAGAGGAATTCGATTTGTTTTGGCTAGGTTTAGTTGCTTCCCAACAGTTGAGCAGTTTACATCATGTTTTCGCGACTGTTTCGTAATTTCAAGGCAAGTTTTAATAGCTAAAAATGTATTTAAATATTTCGAACAGTGATATAATCAGTGGCTTTGTAAAGTATTAGTTAATGAAGTAGAGTCCCCGTCAAAACAACGACTTTTACTTTCGTTAAAACAGTTTTTCCATTGACCTTGATTTTGAAATTGATTTTGCAATGGCAATGAGTGTGGGAGAGTCTGTTAAATCAGCTGTTCGACAGCTGCAGTCGCCCGAAGAGAAGAGAGCAGCCCCCTATAGACCCCATTTAGAGAGAGTTATAAAGAGCGCAAAATGCATTACTTTGCTGACGACATCAGACGCGAACAAAGCCCCAAAAAATAATGCTTTAAAAACCAAAAATCTGCCGAATTGTGAAGTTTTTTTAATATATTTTTTGTGAATAAAATGCGCTGCTTGCCGGGCTACGGTTATGGGCTCACATTTCTGTTTCTGGTGTGCCCCATAAACGAATATATACCTACATTTATAATGAAATCCGGTGAACTGTTGCTCATACTGCCCTTTCCGCTTCTTCTTCTTCCAGAGCACCGTTCGCAATGAACAAAAGGAACTGAACATTTCGCCGGTTCACGATGTAAATATTCCCAAAGCCACGGCCACTTTTGGCATGGGCTGTTTCTGGGGTGCCGAATCTCTATATGGAGCCACCCGTGGGGTCTTGAGAACCACCGTGGGATATGCTGGCGGAAGCTCGGACTTGCCAACGTACCGTAAAATGTAAGATTGCGGATCGAGAGCATTAATCATCCAATTTTTTCCTTCATCATCCCCACATGTTCCATCCCCTAATCCTTTCGGATCCGGTACTAACCCACGAATCTCAACAGGGGCGATCATACGGAGGTACTGGAAATCGACTACGATCCCACGGTCGTTAGCTTCAAGGAACTGCTAGAGCTGTTCTGGAACAACCATGAATATGGACTGACCACGCCCATCAAGAGGCAGTATGCCTCCATGATTTTGTACCACGACGAGGAGCAGAAGCAGGTGGCCCTTGCCTCCAAGTTGGAGGAACAAGAGCGCCGGGCACCGGAGGTTATAACCACCGAGATTGCCTCCAAGGAGAACTTCTTCCCAGCCGAGGCGTACGTTTTCACCTTAGCTGCCTTGAGTTCTTAATGTTAATTTCCTTTCTTCCCCATAGGTACCATCAAAAGTACAGATTGCAGGGCCACAAGGACCTCGCTTCCTCGCTCAACCTCACCCCCAAACTGCTGCAGACCAGCTACGTGGCCACCAAGCTGAATGGCTATCTGGCCGGAGTCGGCGGCATCGAGCAGTTCAGGGCCGAGTCGGAGACCATGGGTCTTACGCCCACCCAACGGCAGTACTGCAACTACCACGTGGAGCAAAACGAGGGCCAGGGCCTCTACTGCTGACATGGCCGGATGTGCATAGATGTTAAGCGTAGATCGTATACCTAGGGGGGTAATTTTATAAATAGTTTGCTTGTTCAAAACAAATTGTGTATTATGTAGACTTAGGAAGGTATAAAATATATTTGAAAAGCGTATATTTTATAATAATAATAAAAAATATCTCAAACGAATGCTTTTGTACTTGTTACTGGGTGCTTAAATTACTTATTTTAATCGGACTGCTGGAAAAGTGGTTCTTCGTTGTGACCCAACCATCCACCAAAAAGGCAATGAACTTTATTTTTGGGAGTTTAATTCGCCTCTGAACGATTTAAATTCTGCAAATACAGAAGTGCGTTTACCTGCTAAGACCTACGAGTATTATACAACTTGATCCTCGTCATGTGCGAAAACAACAGCTGTGATAACTGTCTGAATAATCTGGGTTGATAAACAGCTTGCAAGTCATGTTAAGTTCCTGTCCAGGATCCTGCCTTATCTGAAGTAAACACCCCGATAACAAATTCGCTGGCTCATCTGTTTATTCAACTTTAATGAGTTGGCATTGCTGTCAAGAACTGATCGAATTTCTGGTAAATTTATATTTGTGTCTATTATAGAGAATCCATCTGTTATAAAATGGGTCTGCTAATATTAAAATATATTAAAGACAAACGTAGCTCACGTAGGATGTAGAAATATCAAATAAACCTTGAGATTATTTTTCTGTTCTCGAGCAGACGAATGTTCCCGCTTCTAAAAAATGGCAAAGCTTATAATATCTTGTATCCAAGGACAGTGATGTGATCGAAATACTTATACAAAGAAAGTTCAAACGACGAGTCTATAAATTGTGAAAACTATCAGTAGCTCAACTTTATCTTAAACTGTTGGTTAGTTTACACTTAATTATAGGGTCTATAAATTACTGGCGGGAGTGACTAGCACTAATCGATTGAAAATTGAAAGAAATGCACCTAGTCATAGGCAAAGATCTGATAAGGGGAATTGCCTTAAGTGGCCTATATACTATATTTAGTTCATTTCATAAGATCAGCAAATTTAAGGACATTAAAAAAAATGGTTTCGTATAAGTTGTGTTTTTATTTTTTACGATCATGAATGTGCTTCATTAATATTCATGCTAAGCCCACATGAATATTGAAATACAGTGACAAAAATAGAAACTTTTTGTTAGACAGTATTGTAAAATGTAAATTATTAAAACTCGCATAGTGTGAGATATCAAATGAAACAAAAATGTTTAGCAGGATAAGCAGGAGAACTCTCCTTCCTTAACAAAATAAAAATGAGAAGACTAAAAGATTTATTGCTACCTAAGGTTAAGGCTCTTGTATGTTAGCATATCCGTAAGATACAAATGTATCTTCATTATCTTTGGTTAAAAGAAGGCCACTGTATACAAAGAAAGTTGTGTAAAGTTCGTAGATTGGTAGTTTCATATGTATAAAAATATATTTAATGCCTTCAACCCAAAATTTATTCGATTTGACTGTGCGGTTTCTTATTAAACGAGAGCACACGTTGTATACTCTGGATTTTATCCACCCACTATATGGAACCGGTATTATACTTTTTAAATCACAAATCATCCTGAGATGAGACATAATAGATTTGTCTCTACCGGTTATACTTTTTTGGGATATTCCTCGTACTTAGCTACGTGAAGTATAAGATACATATATATCTACATCCAGGCCTTCAACCCAAATTTCGACAGATTCGACCGCTCTTTGTTGTTTTTCGATTAGGAGAGAGCACATGTTGCCCCCCACTCTCTCTTTCTATCGCTTCTTCCCGCAAAGCAAAAACAACTATCACACAAATGGGGCTCTCTTGCCATAATCTCACTCGCCCTCTCTCTCTCTCTCCCTCTCTCGGGCTGGCCCCCAGTGCCCCACCCCACTCGCCCCCTCTCTTTCACTCCAACGCAAGCCGGTTCGCCGCGTGTTTGGCGATAAGTCAAATTAAACGGGCAAATATAGCGAACCATTTTTTGTTTACAGCGAATGAAAGACTTAAATTGTTTTTTGTTAATTCTTTTCTATATGAAACAGTGCACCGAATGAGCTTAAATTGGGGCAACCAGTAGATCTCGAGCTTAAGTACCTGATTTTTCAAAAATCAAAAAAATCGTAGCATTCCCTGAGGAGTGACAAACTTGGTCGATTTAAGCGTCTTCTAAGGGAGGTTCGTAGACAATATTTGGTATGCATATGGCTTAGTCCCACCCCCATCTACTGTCCAAATTTGAAGTAAAAATCTTAAGTACTTTGGCTGTGGCGAATTTTACAAGATTTTCCGTTATAAGTTCGCGTCGGGAAGAAGAAGAGCTGCCTTCAACAGACGCGCTATAGACATAGCAACAACAAAAACGACAACTACAAACCATCCAAAGTTGTTGACGGCGACGATCTAGCTTTCTTTGTATTAGTCGCACGAGTTGATAATAGTTTATTTTATTGGGTGGGAGAAAAGAGGGAACGAGAGGCACCAATCGATCAATGAGTCGAAGAAAATAGTTGCACAAGACGATGCGATCCCACGGGGAAAGGTCATTGGGTTGGTTTCCTCTAAATGTAGTCGTTGTGATTTGCACTATTCAATGCGTATAAAAAGAGCCTAGAATATTTGCAAATCATTTTGTTTGGAAAATTTAATTTGATCTTTCTAAATTAATTTAAAACTATGATTAGTAAGATTTCACAAACTCCAAGTCATGGCACAGATAACGTTTGACTGTTGATTATTGTTCTACGAAGAAAGACACTTCATGAAGAACCAAATTTTCAAGGGTTTTTGAAAAGATCAGTTACGGAAATAGAGTGATGCTATAAGACCCGCTGAGTTCGTTAGCAAGTATCAAAGCTGAAGATCCTTGTTGGATCCTTAATGGAAAATGTACATATATGTATATATATATAAATATAAAATCGCGTCTAAGGTTTTCCATAATTCAAATCTTACTTCGATTTTTCAAAAACCTCTTACTATATTGATATTAAAGCGGTTCTAAAAGAACAAAATCTTATTTACAAATTGAACAAAATATTTAAAAATGTGGGCGCTAGACGTATTTTAGTGTTACACTCATTTTGGGCGTTATAGTGGGCGTGGCACCCTGCCGAAACAAATTTACGTTGCGCTGGAAGCCCAAGAATCTGCATCCCGTTCCAACATTCTAGTCTCCGAGATCTTAGCGTTCATACGGACGGACAGACATACGCACATGGCTAGATCGATATACTTTATGGGGTCGGAAACGATCTTTCCCTGTTACATATTTTCTGACGTATCTAGTATACCCTTTTACTCTACGAGTATCGGGTGTTAGAATAATAACTAGTTAGGTATTGCATAATAAAGTGTTCTCTCTGTAAGCGCATTAGGTAATCCTTTTTTGGATTATTTGTAAATTTCAAGTGGCAAGCGCTTCATCATTAGTGTTAATCGTTGCTAAGCAAGTTAAGCCTGCCAAGGGTAAAACTTTATAGATATAGATAGGGTTGAAGGCTAAACTTACTTAATCTTTAAGTTGAAAGAAGTCGTTAGCACTTAAAACCTTAAAGAAAGCACAAACATTGTCTCTGGTATACAAGATCATTAACCTGCTTTAAAAAGGCTCACCGGTTCTGTATTTATATTGTGCCAAGATATATTTAGAAAAATTAAAAATATGATTTTTAAAGAAAAATGATAAAAATAAATTTATAATTTGAATTGAAAATTGAATGTATTAAAATATACAAATATATTTTTGATCCCTGCTTGTTCCATTCTATAATTCTCCACAAGATCGCCGATATTATTACATGTTGTAAAATTATGCAAAAGAAAAGTAGATTACTTCAATGATTAATCTTGATCTACATTAAGTGCAGGAAAGGTTTGTGTATTAGCTAAGGCAATGGAATTAAGTTTTTTACATTCGACTTTTTTACATCATTTGTAGACAATGATCGTAGAAATTGATCCCTTTTTATTTTGGTGTAAAAACTTATACACAGGGGTTTGTAAAGACGGAGTTCGGCAGGATCACACCCTCGAATTCTCCATACCGACGTTTATTTAGGGTCCTGATTACGAAAAACTAAACAAAATTTTTACAAATTTTGTTATCCTGCAAAATAACGCTAGAAGGTGTCATGTTTTTACAAGTTATGAAAAAGGAATTCTAATTTTTGTATAAAAAAGGATAAATGAATTTTATTTTCGTTTTTTATTTTATATTTTAGTAAAGAATATTTCGGGGAACGAATACACCAACATTTGTTTCCCACACAGTCTGATGTCCATAGTTATTTTTATGCAACCCTACGACATTCATGCGTGTTTAGGTCTCAGTTTTCAATTTTTCCGAGTGGGGTAGATGAGACTTCAACGGCCTGATGCTGGGGCTGGAACTGAAGATTTTCTAAATTACTCAGAACGAGAAGCAGTTTGAGGACATCGCAAAGCTTACCCTGGGTCTCAAAGCAGTCGTTCCACTTCCATTTACATCAAGTAGGATATATGGACTGGACAACTCTGGATAAGCTTCACTTTCAAAAGTATTTTTTTTTTTTAAATGTAAAGTATGTGCTTGGATCGCAATTTTATTTGCTGCTATATGTATTGAAATTTGGCCAACCCTAACATAGATTTTTATTGCTAATTGCCTAGTTTTAATATTATATTTTTCAAAATAAATACAGTGGAGTGATATATGTAATCACAGTTTTATCTAATACAAGTTTATATATGCCTTTGAATTTTTCGTGATACTAGTTTTTTTTAGCAAAACCAACAGTTATCCGGTCTCCGCCGAGCTTCCCATTGGGAAGCTACAGTTAACGCGGAGCTAGAAGACGCGCTGACTAAAGGAGGTACCCGAGGAAATATTTTCCTGCCTAATTTGCTCCATTGATTTATGATTTTATAATATTAATGTGTGCTTTTATAGGGAGGACAAAAGAAGGCCGCCCCCCAAGGGAAAGTCTGGAGGAACCATTACCACATATTGCCTGGATGCTGCGAGACTTTCTGCAGCAAAATTAATTTTTAGTTTAATTGCTCCAAGTCATTTGTTTAATGTCTAAATATTTCTGGAGCGGTATTTTAGTATATTTTCTTTGTAAAAGAGCTTTGATGACCAAATTGAAAGCTTTTCTGTATTTAATTACTATATAAATTTCTTTGAGTGAATCAAGTCTTATCAGTGTGATGATTTCCTAACAAGTAAACAAAAAAGGTAGGATCGCAACTTAGTCAAGCGCCGCGACTATCAGATACCCGTTGCTTCGTAAATACATTTTTAATTAATAAATATATTTTATATATAATTTAATTAATAAAACAACAAGCATTTTTCAGACTGGGCGTGGAAAAAAAACATTTATACGTACAAGCCGGACATGTATAAAGTATCACTCTGCGGTCAAATACTTTTTATCGAATACAATATGCTCTTTTACTCTACAAGTAAGGGGTAAAAATAGAATTCTCTCTTTTTTGCACAATTTAGTCTCTAGGTTTTGTTGCTAAACATTCAACAGTTCTAAAAACGCGTTGGAGGAAGCAAGTCCGCGCTCGAATCGTTAAGCTTGGGAAAAACACAACAATGGAGACCTCAAGAAATATTTTAGATTTACCATTGGAACTTTTACATATAATATTCGGCAATCTACACGTACACGACCAATGCTCACTGGCCTTTACTCATCCATATCTTAGGCAGGCATTTACTTATCAAGCCGGAAATCGATATACCAACATTTTTCCCTCACTTCATTTTAAGCCTTGGTCGCATATTTTGGCGATTTGTGGCTCAACTGTTTTGCACATTTCGGAAGAGTTTTTCATTTTAGAAGAATCCTTGATGAGAACAATTGAGCAGAACTGTACAAATTTGCAAAGCATCAGTATCGGTATAAACGAGAGCAACTGCAACAAGGTCAGAGCCTTCTTAAGCAACCTAAAATCACTGAGGTCAGTAAATTTGTGGATAGAGTGTGTAGCGACGCCCAAACTCTTCAGGGTGCTGAGAAAAATAAAAGATTTAAAAGGTTTGGAATTTCTTCGTTACGTTGGTCCTGAAGGCAAGTATGTAAATATCGCAATACAAATTATTTAGCAAATAATTGTATTTTTCAGAATGGGAAATGTCCAGTTTCCTTGACTTGGAATCACTATCCATTACTATAAGTTCAAACAAAACACGCGTTGATGTTTTGGTGTGGTGCCTTGCCTTGAAAAATCTACGGCGTTTGAAGCTGGCTGGTTTCGAAGAATGGCGATCGATTTATGGTCCAAGCGAAAATATTGCCTTGGAGGAGCTTGTATTAAATGATTGTGATCCTACTTCAGACTGGCCACTTTTTCATCAGCTAAAAACTTTGAAGGATTGCTATACAAGTTTGGTACGTTCACATCACCAATTTGCTTTAAAGCATGCAAAGACCCTGGAAAAACTGGTGGTAAGCTACGTGTTATCCGGAAATGAGTTCTTTGAAATATTATTATGCTGCAAGAATCTACGTTACCTTGAGATAAAATATATCAATATGCAAATTAATAATGAGAATTTGGTCACAATCCTAGGCATTTTAAAAGAGAATGGTGTCACACGGCACAAGCCATTTGAAATTTTGCTTGATCCAATAATGAGTTACGTTCTAGATTTGGTAAGTACTTCAAACATAACAAACGTCGTTTTCATGGCCATTTCCTTTTTTTACAGTTGGTGGGTATTTCCGGTTCAGAAATAATTCGTTTTCGAATAAATAACTCCAAAATAAATGAAACATTTAATTAATATTATACTGTAGATATGTTTTCGTTATTATTATGGAAGTTATACGTTAAGGAACACTCGTATGTTTTAATATCCTGTCAAAATTTACAAATTAAAATGTATATAAAAATAAAAATACTTAGTATAAATAAAAAAAATTTTAAAACAAACTAGAGAGAGCCATAATAGGAACACAATTTTTTTTCTTTTAAGAATTGAGAGTATAGTAAACAGTTTTAAAGTACACTTTGTTTCAACAAGTTCACAGTAAATAAAAGTATGGGCGTAATTTAAATTTTTAATTTAAAATCACCACCCTTTTTTAAAGCTTTCATAGGCAACTTGCAATCTCTGAACTCAGTAGAACTCCTAATAACTTGAGTTGCCAATTCCAAAATCATAAATATGTTAGAGGAAATAGAAAACCTCAAAATTTTTAATATTTTTACCAGTTATGTTATACTTTTTTGAATTAAACAAAAATAAATAGGACGACTATATCATGTTCATTGCTGCCATAGGAACAATCGGTGAAAAAATGAGAAATGTATTAAAGCATTCGCTATTTTTGATCATATTCTCTACTACTACTACTACAACTACACATTTTTTTAAATTTTAGAATTACGAATAACAATTGGACCACTGTTTTATATAGCTGCCATAGGAAGGATTCGAAAATTAATGTAAAAATAATACAAAAAGAGTCATGTTTCGTTTTTGCTACAATTTGAAATGGAATATTACCATAATATTTCTGTGATTCGATTTTTATTTTCTAAGAATAGGAGTGCCCGCATATATTTATTGCTCCCATAGGAACGGCCTGCAAGGGTACATAAACTTCGGCTGGCCAAAAGAAAGCTTTCTTGTTGGGTATCAGCTAAGTATATTTTTTGCAGAATTTGAAAAAAATGTAAGTGAACTAGAATTACATAATCATATCAAATTGTGCTTTCAAACCAAAGTAGTATTTAAATTCCATTTTGAAGAGAGTATTGCAATTTATTTATAAATTCTTAAAGGAACACCTGTGTGCATAAAGTAAAAATGGAAATATAATCAGTTGAATATGTTTATGATATATGATTAAAATCGGCTGCTTACGAAATTTCACTAGCGCCACCTAGGTTTCACTGTATGTGGCGTGTTAGTGTCGTAACAGCCGATTAGCTGAGTAACGGGTATCTGATAGTCGAGACTGTCGACTATAGCGTTTTCTCTGTTGTATAATATGTTTAATGAACATTGTTCATATAGGAAATAAACGCGTGTTGCTTTTTCAAAAATGTAATTTTTATTAATGGCACAAAATACGAAACACTAAAATCACAAAACCATAGATCTCGACGGTCTGCCAGTCATAAGTAACCACAGCATACTTGGAAGAACTTAAAAATAACTCTTAAAGTAAAGCATACAATGGGGAAGCACTTCGATTGGATAACAAAGTATAAAGAAAGTCGATCGATGAAATTAAATCCTTAAGGTAAGTCGTCTCTGGGGTTTCATGCGTTCCTTTTCCGCCCGATCTTTGCGCATTCGGAGTATTTCTTCACCGCGGAGCTCCTTGAGCCTTCTAGGCGATATATTCAATTTGAGGCTGTTAGGTTCAGTCTTTGGGGATCGACGACTTATTACAAAACTACTGGAGTCATTCGCAAACAACTTTTGCTGCCGCAAGCGCACATAGCGTTTTGGAGTTTCGGATGCCTCCTCGTTCTCAGGAACCTCGTCCTCGTCCTCTATTGTTAACACTTCCTTGAACATATCCTCGACGGCGGTGAAGTATAGCGTGGAATCGGAGGTCATTGTGAACCTGATGCTGGCGAGCAACTGAGCCTAAAATTGATTGAAGCCAGTCAGGGGACGAGTTTCAAATGCATTTGCACGGACCACCAGACCTCGGGCACTTTTCAACCCTCGACGAGGTATCTGGCTACCTGATCCTAAACAATAGTGTACACAAAACTAGGAAAACAGCTGGAGAGGCGACAAATACTAGACCGAGGTAATGAGGGGTTTCCCTGCTGGTAAACCCTCATCTGAAGACCTTCCAGGGTACATTTGAACTGCCTTGGCCCGAAAGTTCATTAGTGAATTTTTAAATTTGTAATGACTAGACTTTCCAGTTTTACTAATACGTTTTACAAACAGTTTTCTTTATCCATATATAGGAAATCTATTTTTCTTTATACAACTCTAAAACTTAAGAATTTATTGTATTTAGTAGGTTTTTTTTTTGTACATATGCATGTATATTTGTGTGGATAATTTTTTGAGCCGTGACTCATTTGTCAAACCGTAAAAAATAACCTAAAACTACACAGTGAATCACATTTAACGCCACAATAATGTTATCAACAGGCAAATAATACCCAACCTTTTTTAAAGCGCAAAAATTGCCCATCGAGTTGAGAACCAAACTATCTAAAGATAAGAAAAAATCCCATTATGAGCATCCGACTCGATTAGATTAAATGACGCATTGAACAGTTTTGGTTTATGGTTAGTTTTGTTTTCGTGGAATTATTATTAATATAGCCTATAGTATACTTTCATGTCCTCAGATCAGTATTCCTTATTAAAGTAGTCGCGTATGCTGCGCTTCACAATGGGAGCCATCTTAGCGACCTGATTCTGCACTTCCTCCGTACCCTTATCCTTGTGATAGAAGACCGTGAAGTAGACAATCAAGCCGATAACCACGATCATGAGAAGCGCAGAGAACACAATGCTCAAAAGCATCTTGCAGGCGCAGGAACAGCAGCTGTAAAGATAGAAAGATCGGATTAGAAAAGTTTTGAATTGGTGAAATCAAAAATATCCAGATCCTAGGTGGCTTAGTCATTGATCATTTTGTCAAATCAGATAGTTTAGAAAAGACTAAAACACTATGACTCAAGACTAAACGATAAACTTATGCCTAAAAAGCATTATCACAGGTGTTCTCCCGGTCAATACTCCCCATAAAAGGTTTATATCCATATCTGTGTTGATCAATGAGTCAGGAACTGATGGAAACTTACCAGCAAATCACTTTGCCGGGACATTTGAGGCATTCACAGAGAGCGTTGCACATGGTGCTGAGAGTCGTGGGTTAATGTATAATAAGTGGGTAAGGTTTTCTCTATTCTCGATGCGTTGTTGACCAACACAAATTATCAACTGACGGGGTGTAACCGCCATCGACCGCATTTAGGGCCGTCAGGTATTGAAAGCTTTAATCATATCGGGCGAAAAAAACAATAAACTGATAACAAGTCGGCTATAATTAACACGACGACAGTAACAAAAGTTGGAGAGAGATATTGGAAAATAGAGCTTACACTCTTTCCTTATGAGCGAGGTATCATCCATCCATTATCCAGGGGATCTGGTAATTTGCCCGTCCCGACGCCTCAGGACGAAGTAAAGGATAACGATTAATTTTACAGCCATTATCAACGCACAAAAAATAATAGCATTACGTAGCCTCAGGCACATGTTTTTGATCAATTTTTAAATCGAACTCTATTGCACGTCTCGGGCTTAAGTTTATGTTTGGTAATATCTATCATATATATGAAATACTACAAAGAATATCATTGTAAGCGCGACGATAACCACAATAATCACAATTAACCGTCGATTCCAGCACATGTTGTTCTACATTTGATTTTATTTACGAATTTTTTCTCAGAAACAAAGAATTTGATTAAGGTGGCAAAGGTAGATAAATCATAATAAACTGGAGTAAGGGGACAGACAGTCCGTGACATAGACAAATGATTTCGACCGGGAACTGATATGGAGTAAAAGTTCAGATTGATTAAAGAAAGACAAAAATCAACTTTCTATTTTTAAACTATTACTGAGCAGGAAGTAATATAACTGTTATCATGGAAAACCCATGCCAGAAACTCATTTGGATTGCTCCTCAATTCGAGAAACTAAAGAAATGTTTCGAGGAATTAGTAATCTCAACCGAAACGACCTATTAGCTGATAAAGGAAAGCTGTCAACTAAGCTGCAAATACCTAAAAGAGCGATCAAAATACTTGAAAACTAACGTTATAGGAGAATTTTTAGGAAACCATATTTGTCAAAGTAATATACTTCAATAAAAACTTTAAAGTTACTTCAAAATAAAAGTTTATGGGTATGTCCCACGTTAAAAATGGTTATAATTTATACCAGTCTATTACAAAAAAATCCGGTCACAGCTTACTATTATAGAACCGCCTCGTTTTATCAAATCTTTATAAAAAATCTCTTGTATAGTAATCCTTTAAAGGGTAACTTACCAGCAAAGGACTTTGCCAGGACATTTAAGGCATTCGCAGAGAGCGTTACACATGATGATCAGAGTTGTGGGTTAAAATTCTTCCGGATTTCGACGTATTCCTGTCCAGCTTAAATGGATAACTGACACATGCTGTGCCATTTTCCACATTCTGGGGCGAAAAAACGGAAAGCTTTCATCATATTGATGAAAAAAGAGAGAAACTGATAAAGATATGGTCATAACACAATCATAAGATAAGTATTAGAAAATAAAGCTTATATAGGTAGTGCTTCTCCGTGAGGGAGGATTCGTTGGACAAAGATTTTACTCAATGCAAAATAAAAGATTACTTTTAATTCTTAAACAAAGTTGTATTTAAGGTGAACCAAACACTAGATATTAAAAAGGTATTTGCGCGATCACAACAAAATGTTTTAAAGTAATATCAAAACTAAGACAACGGACCTATCTGTCAGCTTATAGACAGGTAAAAATGAAACCGTCATAACAGATTAAACTCTTGCACCTAAAATCGAAAGCCAATCAGTGCTTGAACTGAAATTCTTAGGGGGTTTACATTAGCTTTTTGGCATTACCCAAAGGAAGATTATTAAGCAATCGCTATACACACTTATCTTCAGGAAAGCTACGAAGCTCAGATACGAATTTCTTAAGTTTTTGGCGAAGAAATACGGTCGTAGGCACTTATAAAACTAAACGTTTAAAATAAACACTTAAGGTAGGTTCTGTTCAAAAGAACCTTATCGGTTTTATCAAAGTAGGACATGTATCAAAAATAACTAAGATATTTCAAAGGCAGCTTGAATTGACAAGAAATACAAATACACACAAATTATTTTAGGAAAATGTAAAATAACACTAAATTATAAATTTAATATTAAAACTTGAAATGATCTAGAAATAAACAAAAAATGAGTCATGAATTGAACACATTTCTGATATTTTTTCGTTTGGGGCCATAAGTAAATAGAGGAAAACTCACAATATTAGTCCCCATTAATGCAGGTCGCCGATATTCGGCTTTTTTTACGACACCCGATACCAACTGCTGATCTAGACAATTTGATGAACTTCTTTGAGCACCTACAACGTAAGCAGACCTCTAGCTCTAAGCTCAGTGCGATTTCGCGTTCAAAGATGGTCATACAAGAAGGGCTCGTCTGCTTGGGATTTCTCTTAACTGGCTTGGCTTTGGCCACAGAAGCCTGGCTGTTGTCCCAATCCGGCTTAAACGAATCCAGCTACCTCGTCCGCCACTTGTCGATGCATTTCTCGCGCGTGTTCCTAAGCGTTAAAGTGGAAAGTAATGAATCCCCCACTTTTATCGAAGCCCAATGGCCGGTTTCCTACTTTCCCATGCCCACTGTGGTGTTCCCCCACGCCGATGTTCATGCGAAGGGAGACCACGACGATTGCTCATTACTGCAGCAGGCCCACTGGTCCCAGGTGGATGCACTGAGTCGACTGTGGGTCATGGACATTGGATTCCCCGGCAGCAAATGCTCGCCCCGATTGTTTGTCTTCGATCTGCTGCGTAACAATGCGGAGCTACTGAGAATTGATTGTGGTCGACATATAGGAGCCAACGACACCAAGTCCCTAGTGGTTCAAATGGGTCCCAAGGGTCCGGTTTGCGAACAAGAGCGCCACATTTACTTCATCCTGGGCAAGGTATCCGAAATTATCGCCTACGACATCCTGGAGCAGACTTGGATAGTAAGATCACTAGAGAGTCACAAGTACGAGAACATGAACCAATCGTTCCCCATTAGGCCAGTGGATTTCGCATTCGGTATACAAGGCGAACTCATCCTCTCCGACCAGGACGGTGACCTATACAGCACCGTGGATAGACTGGAAGTAGATGGAAAGAAAGAGTTAGCCACTAATTCAGCTAGCAACTGCATTAAACTCACCCATCTGGGAAGTCTCTTGGGCAGCAGTCGCAGCATGATCATCGATAATTTCGGAACCTTGTATTACGTAATCCCCAAGTTCGGAGCAGTAGTGCGATGTGCTAAACTGACAAACGTCACAGCAGAGGGCAATGAAATCATATATCTCACATCGAAGAACATACAGCAGATATTTTTTACCTCCAATGATGCTTTATGGGTGCTAAGTGATCGGATCTTGAATGCAAAGGAGATGTGCTTTCCTAGTTTATGAATAACTAAATTACAAATAAATAAGTTAAATAAAAGATAATTCCAAAAACCGCAGGCCTTGTGTATATGTTTTGTTTATTATTCGTTTCGTCTGGCTTGGTGATGTAACTTGCTTGGTTTGCTAATAATGCTATGAATGGTTAATGGACCAAAAACAATTAAATTAATGGCTAACAGTTTGCTTATTCAGATAACCCATTAAGGCCTGCAGCCGCTTCTTGATGTTCTTCTGATCATCCAGAGTGCAGCCGAGCAGAACGCTCTCGAACTTCTTATCGACGGGGCCCACATCGGCCTCGGGCAGGGTGTCCATGTGTCCGGATGGATCCATCGAGCTGCTGCAGCAGGCATTCAAGTACAACTGGCAACGCTGGCGCGCGATCACGGGATCACCCATTTTGATCATGGTGTCGATCAACACATTGATCTGGCTGAGGGAATCCTCCTGCGAGTTGTCGCGTACAGTGCGCACATTTAGCTCCACAGTGCCCAAACGAGAGCTTACTCGCTGGATGTACAACATGATCTCCTCTCGTTCAGCTAAAAAGAGTTATACACGGTTAGTTTATGTTTAACTCTGATAAGGTAAGTTAAGGTAGGTAACAGGCTACAATTATTTCGCTTATAAGGCATTCAGTCAGATATAAAAAGAAACATATTAAAGGTAATACAACTAGTGCTGAACCATTTTTTAAAACAGATAACTAAATACTTCATTCTTCTTTGTTTACTAATTTCTAAGTTTTAAGATGGTGATATCTCTGGCATTATAGCATTTTGAGTTATAAGGGTTCACTAACAATATGCACTTCTCACCCTCGCTCATGTTCTGCATCATTTCGTTGCTCTTGATTAGATCCATGGACATCAATAAGTAGTCTTTTTTCTCCTGCAGGTTGAGTGCATCCTTGCGCAGTTTCTCCACACGTGCATCCAGCTGGTCCAGAATATTGACAAATCTGCAAGTCACTAAAAGATTAGTCTCGGCCGTTTGGGTACTTAACTCAAGATTTACCTCTCGCTGGCGTTATATGGTCTGTCACATGTTGGTTAAGTGTGGTTGCGGTTCAGTGGTTAGTTCATGAAAAGAGACAAGCAACGTTAGACGGTTAGATCGCTGCCACGGATCGACTGACCACTTATAGAGCTATGAAATTATAACCAGAATAGGTCTACAAAAGAGGCGCTCGCACACAAAGCTCTTTTTTGAGTTGTGTGGGCGTTCGCAGCAGATACTTTAAGCTATCACCATTATTGTTATGGAGCAAAAGAATCGAATGAAGCTGCTAGCTGGTAGTGTGAAGAAATAATAGATAAGAAACTTAAAAGTTTTGTTTCGCTACGAGGTTGTGTGAATATTTTCGGTCTGTTTTGGTTTCGTGTCTGATTGGTTTTAGTTAGGATGGAATAACAACCTGTCCAGGGCTCTACTGTCGTCGACGAGTCCATAGGAGCTGTTCCCGCTATTGGCACCACCTCCGGATCCGGCCGCGGACGAGGAGGCCCTCAGATCTTGCAAATAATCGAAATTCATGGATGACTCCGAGTGGTAGCCGCTGGGCGAGATCTGCTGCAGATGGGGATACAGCTGATGGTGGGGATGATGCTGGTGGTTCTGCAGATGATTGTCGCTGGTTTGCTGCGCTATTGGCGCATCAACTTCCATATCCTGCGGCTGATCCAGATTTGATTTGAATCTGCCGCGCTCCAAAAATCCGGTCAAGTGTTTATAACCCAAGATGGTTAGGCTGCCTACTGTTTCTTTTTTTTTTACTTTGGTTGCTTTTAGCCGCTTTGGTGGCTACGTTTTTGGAATGTCTTAAGCTTTTAACGAGTGGGTGTCGAAGTGTTTGATGCTGTTGCTTATTTAGCTTAATTTTATTTGTTTCTGAAGCTGCAATAAGAGAGAGAGAGGGAGCGTGAATGCGAAGAATTCAATTACCTATCTGATTGAAAAGAAGTCTCCGACCAGGAGACCTCGAAGCCATCACTGGACTCCGGAGTCTCGGCGTCTAGATCCTCCGGATATCGGGGTATTATCTCAGGCATTTTGCCGATCGGGGGCGTAGGTGCTGGCGGGGGCGTGTCTGTCTCACAGCGACGTCGTTTCCGAAAAATACCGCGCAAATTCTCGAACATTTTCGGGTGAACCACAATTTCTCTAGAAGATTCCGCTCAATTCTCGGGATTTGGTTCGCCAGCTGTCTTCTAAAAGAAACTCTGGTTTCTGTTTTGGATTTGCATAGATTACCTGCCGCCGGGGTCTTGAAATGAGCCTTTTGCACAATACAAATATATGTTGTTGATTTTCCGAGTATGGGAGTTCAAGTTCGATGACGGCAAAATTCGTGTTGTGTGAGGTTTTTCGTAGACTCCGTTTGTTCATTTCCTCAGTTTCATGTTCAACCACCTTCGTTGTTTACTTCTAGGGACAATCAAACATTTCGCTTCGCTTATATTTAGATACGTATAAAAATGATTAATTTAACATTATATAGTGGGATTTGTAAGACCGTTAGTGGGTAGCCGAAAAATAACAGTGGCACAGTCGATATGTGATATCGATTTCGCATTTCAAGGCCAGTGTGTACACATGCGATGTGTTTTTTTTTTGTTATCGGCGGCCAATTTCAAAAAGTGTCCTCTAACATAACTAAATAAAGGTGGATGGGAAAAGTGATTTATACAATCATTGTAAAAACACAGTGGTTTTCTGTTTACAAAATGCAGTTGGTGGAAAAAATAACAATAAATAAAAACTTAAATTAAAAGAAAACCCACAGTAAAGAAATATTCAGAAGCCGATACTTGTTTTAATAAAACTTCTACTTTATTTGTGGCGTCAAATTCAAATCGCGCACACAAAGGGCCGTTCGCGACCATTGGCAACTTTTGGTGGCAATGTCGAAGAAATAGTAGAAAGGACACTGCTGCAGGCTGGCATGACCCTTCACGCAATATATGAAGAACTCGCAGCGCCGCATGTGGGGATACAGATGCTGTCCGTAGGCCGGGCAGTGGATAAGATCACTTGAAATGGATCCACCCGACTGAGTATTGGAGTTTCCATTCGCCGGCGGTTCCTCCTGACCACCTAGAGTGCACTGGGCTCTCTGCGGAACATCGCATTTGCCCGTCATGGCATTCCAGTGCAACTGGGAGCTGCACTCCTGTAATATCGCCTGGCCATAGTAGCAGATGTAGTATTTGCCGCAGCTGCTCGAACTTCCGACATAAACAATTCTTTCGCTGGACTGCTGTTGCATTACGGTGGCACAATATGTGGCGGCATCCGTGACCATGTTGTTAGTATCATCATCACCACTTTCAAGGGGAGGAATTTCCACGGAGTCCGTGCCATTTCTGCACTTCACATTTGCCGCCGCATCGCAAAGTTTGCTCTCCGAGTTGAAGAGCATGGTGGGTGGACATGAGGCCAGGACAGCATCGCCGTTATCCACGCAAAGGTAAAACATGTGACAATCCTCCGCATGCTCCACAAACTCGCCAACCAAGTGATTGGTACAAAAGCTTCCTCCGCTCTGCCGAATGGTCACCGAATTCGTGGGCTTCCATGGTTTCCAACTTGTCTGAGCCGAGGCAAGCAGGCAGATCATCATCATATATATTGCTATAAGCCAAACATTTTTGAATAGATTTTAAATTTTAAGAATCAATTGTACTAACCCGTATTAAGCATCATCTTTTGTTCTTTCGTCAGACTCCAGTAAGGCGCAGTTTTATTCTAATTTCGTAATGCCCCGAGAACTTGACATATATGCCACACAAACGGCGCCAAGATACGTCAAGTATCAGCCTCAGTATCAGAAAATTAACATTTTCAATTGCTTGTAAAAGGAGTTGATAACGCTGCTAGAGCAACCACACTTAAGTATCTTTATTTTGCTTTGCCAAAAACTGTGGTTCCCTGTCCTTGCAATGGTATGATATGATATCGCAAATTGGCACTAAGATACATCTTTAATGCTACCTAGATTTTTTCAATTTCAAGACTCGGTGAAAAAGGAGCCCCGATTAGCTCGGATAGATTGCGGGTGACAGTTTCGAGGAAATTGGTAAACTGTTATCACGACAAATGTTGTCCTTGTAAGGAAAATGGTATCATATCGGTCAATGAACAATATTTGCCATCGACCTAGAAGGTTGCCCTATTTCTATCAACAATTTTAGCCAATGTTTTGCTTCAAGGCTTACATTTCGCAAAGATATGAAAACCAAGAATCACTAGAAAGTTCTGATAAATTTAGGAATGATTCAAGGTCGAAAGTTTTTTATGATAGGTAATATCAAGATATCTATTGCTTATATCATCTATAAAATGAAGAAAATAAATATAGTTATATTTTTGGACTAAAATTTTTTGACAAATACAAAATGTATGATATTTTTCTCAAATAATAGGAGAACTATTAACATTTCCGTATTTTGTAAGAAAAAAGGTTTTGCTTTAAAATATAATAATGACCATTGACATTCGCTTAAATGTTTATCAACTGACCAATGATTTCATACATTAAGTGTTTAGGCTGCCATTTCGGGCACTTACCCATGTGCCACATGTCCATAAGTAATACGTTTGCATTCAGTGTATATTTAACCAATCCAAACGTTTTTATATCTCCCATTAATAAATTTTAAGAAAAGTAGGTAAAAATTATCAGATTTTATTATAATTTCATTTGCATTTGAATTTTGTTATAGCACTTGGCTTGACTTAGAGCAACGCACGATCGCTTTTCGTAGTCCCATCCGTAGAAGAACGGACACTGCTGCACCATCAAGTAACCAGAACGACATTGGTAGAAGTAATTGCAATTGTCGGAATGCGGATAAACATCGATTACATGTCGCTTGCACTGCTCTCGTGGATTGTAAGCCATTGTCTGAAAGGAATTCATCAGTAAGTTATGAGGCGTTTCAATGACTAGTACGTAACCCACCAAACATCTGACGTTTTCCGGATGATCACATTTGCCTGTGCGGGAATTGAAATGCAAACTGGCGGCACAGCTCATGGGAAGTGCTTGGCCCCGATAGCAAATGTAATAATCGGAGCAGGAGTTTTGATTTGACAGCAGTGCGATGCGGCTTTGATTATCCAGCTGGGGGCACATGTTGGTAACAATAACCTCTATGCCGGGAGTTATGGTAGTGGGATTGGTACTCGTACTGCCATTTTGATTGACTGATGGGCGTAGTGTTACAATCACCGGCGGATTCGATGTGGTATTTACATCTGCTAAAATCGTAGTAGGTTCCTCCACTCCAGATGCTTCCGAGCTAATCTCCGTTGAGCTATCGGCATTACTTTCCGTTTGCACCGCCAATCCCGTACGACAATCAATATCGCCCATGGGCTCACACATTTCCATATCGGGACTGAAGTATTCGCCCTCCTCGCATTCGCCATCGTATGACTCATCGCCGTTGCAGAAAATATAATGTGCGCAACTCTTTGGTGAGGTAACAAACGCCAAGTTGTTTCCATCATTACACTCATCGAAAACGTCGGACCGGCCTACGCCCAGGAGTAATAACGATACCCAGATGGATCCAAAAACTCGAAACATCTTCTCTGCTTGATTTCGAAAAGTAAACTGATCCATTTCGTATGCAGACTTTTGTACATTTCCTACGATCTGAACTCCAAAGCGCTTATCAAAAAGTAATTTGCCTAAGAACACGGTTTGATAATAACTTTATTACAGACTCAGCGATGAATCTTACAAATGTAAGCCCGATGAACGATATGGTTTGGTGGAAATACACTGTCCTTGCGAAGCTTCGAAATGGAAATTCTGGGGGCATTGCTGCAGAAGAAGATAGCCGGAAATACATTGATAGTAGTAATTGCTATTTGCCGGGTAGGGATATACCCCATTTTTTCCACTCGTCTTGCAGATCACGCGGATATCGTCGGAATTGGGAACCGAAGTGGTAGTTGTGGCTGGTGCCATCGATGTGGAGGTTGTTGTAGAGGTTGTGTTTGCCGGAGAAGGAGGTTCTTCGGAAGGGGGCTTCACAGTAGTCGTTACTATGGGTTTTATGGTGGTAACTGGTGCAGGAGCCTTTGTAGTGAGTTCTTCTATGTAACACTCGACGGCCTCTCGACAATCCCCATTGCAGTAGTAGGAATTATCTCCATCGCAGTGGACGAACTCGCTGCACTCCTGGTTCTCATTCGTAACCTTATTAATTATCACACCTTTGCACTCCTCAAGAAAAACCCCCAGCACATGGTGGCCAGGTAGCAGGCAGGCCAAGAATATCAACAATCGCCACATTTAATAGGCTTTCAACTGGTTCATCGCAGAGATCAGAGCCTTCTTTATAGGTGGAAATACGGTTCGGTTTGCTTGTTCACTGATAAGACTCTAAATTCATTTTATTTTCTATAATGATTTTATTTGACATGACAAGAGGCTTAATTAAAAGTGGTTTGTGATTTTTTGCCCTTTTCTCTACTTCAACGCACAATCGTCAGAGTTTCTAATAAGACCACCGCAAGCTCCAGTTCGGGAATCGAAGGCATAGCCAATAGGACACTGCTCCACAAGTAGAAAGCCATCCACGCAGTAGTAGAAATAGTTGCAATTCTGTGGATAACTAAACCTCTTGGTCACACCCTGACGACACTGACGTCGAACATCGGAGGGTGAGGCGGTTGTTGAAGGTGTAGTTATAACACTCGGAGTAGTTAAGATCGGTGCGGCAGTCGTATTATCCACATGGTCTATGTCGCCACAGGTGAAGTTGGCATTACAGGTCCTGTTGTCCGTGCAAAACATCGAATCCTCCGCGGAACAATTGATGAAGGAGTAACTGCAGTTCGTTCGGGTATTGTTGATAATTCCATTTTGACCACTGCACTCGGGAATGTTTAGGCCATTGATTCCCCAGACAACGAGAATAATGCCGTAAGCGATCAATAGGAATTCAAAGCGCAAAGATTGCTGCATTCTCGATCTTTGTGGTGTTTGAAGTGGCGTGCTAAGCTTTTTATAGCTCAGCCAACGGCAATCAAAATCAAGGTCTTTCTTAATAAGTTATATTTAATTAAACGGCTCATGTTGCCACAATCTTGTAACTTGTCAATAAATAGAGCTCTTATCAGCTAAGGGTAGACAACTCCACCCAGATATAAAGAGTTGTTTTTGGGTTTTTCTTCGAAGCGTGGGGAAGTTTCCGGCCTATATTCGTCGGGAGTTTCCGTAGCATTTCGCCACACTTATCTGCACACAACTCCTGCGTTCGATATCCCAACCGTAGTAGAAGGGGCACTGTTGGAGGGTGAGGAAACCCTTGATGCAGTAGTAGAAGTAATTGCAGTTGTCCGGATGTGGAAAGAACTCGGTCATGTGAGGCAGGCACTTGTGAGATCGCGGATCTTCCAGCTGCAAAATGATTTAGTACTCAGCATTTACAGATCGATAAAAATCTAAAGTCGAAACCTACCGCACACTGAACTTTCTCCGGATAATCGCACTGTCCGGAAACCGAATTGAAATACAACTGATTGGGGCAATGCATTTCCATGGCATGTCCATGATAGCATAGGTAGTAATTGGCGCACGATTCGTTGCTGGCCATTAAGATAACCTGACTAGGATCATCGCTGATCGGACAGTTGGGCTTCACCACGGGGGCTATGTCAAGGATATCCACTTCGGTTGGTGGGACAGTCGGTGGATCAGTTGGCCTCGGGGTGGCGGGCACTATCTCCTCCTTCTCCTCTGCTTCCGGTTCCGGTTCCGGGTCCGCGGGTTCATCGACCTCGTCCAGAAAGCACTGGACATTGGCAGCCACGTCACATTCCCCCGTCGCCGCATCAAAGTATTCGCCCTCACCGCACTCGCCCTTCACGGAATCCTCACCCTGGCAGTACACATAGGACTGACAACTCTCCCAACTTTGCACGAATGTCTCGTCTTCGGCCCCCTCACATTCCTCAAAGCTATCTGCATTTATTTGGCAACTCCAGAGCAGCCACAGGCACAGGTACACCAAGTATTTTGACATTTTATTGGCTTCGTCTTGAGTCTTCTACTGAAAGAACTCGTCGGTTTCCCCATTATATTTATGGACCTCTTTCGATTTATTTTCCCCAAGAAATAACCGCCGACATGCATTTCTTTTTAGTCTAATTGAGTATCACTTTATCGAGAAGGCCTTCGAGATATCTCTAGACGAGGTTCATTGAATTACAAAATATTCTGGTCCCCGTGAATCACCTCAGCACCCAGCATTTTTAGTTGGCTTTTCAACTACATATCTTCCATTATGTCATCAGTGGCTTGCAGAATCGACATTACAGCGGTCGATGGTTCCACTTATTTCGCTGAATATGTTTACACAAGCCGAAAAACTTAAAAATTAATATTCAATATGCTCGCACATTCGTGCATACTTATGTATGTACATACGGACAAAAAAGCGTCAAAAGCGTGAAAAAGACAACGCAACAGAAATCATTGACCTCAACAAACGCCGCATTGGCCGTATTTAGTTTGTGGATAGCTAAAAACCAAGACGTCAAGCAGAAAAATACTTGGGATTAGCCGACGCGACTGGGAGTTACTCTGTCGCACAAAGTTTTATTATCGTTCATTTGAAATTCAGACTATTCTGGCTTTATCAGCGATAGAGATACGAAATTATCACTAAGCACGCTCCAATTCGTTTTAAGTATCTCAATTTTCAACAGAACGAGGGACCTGGTACTGTCAAACGATCTTAAGATCAACGTTTTCTTATGCGAGTGTGTTGTAACAGCAAAAAATCACGTAAACGACAAAATGAATATTTTGAAGGAGAATATTTTACATTTCATTATTCCTAAGTTGAACCACTATCTACCGGCCATATAATAAATAACTAAAATAATATAATATTTAATTGTATTGCTCTTATTTTACTTTGTGGCTAATTCCTAAAAGGTAAGCACTACGATGTTTTTATCAAATAAGTGTGAAGTAGAAAAGTAGTTATATATTGTAGTTGTAGTTGTAGTTATATTACCTGTTATTTTTGTTTTTCGTAATAACATATCAACATGTTCACTATAATTATCCTATTAGCTTTCTTAATTTCCTCATTTATTCAGTCTGGAATTATATTATAATTTTCTTCATTACATCATTAATTCTGTCTGGTATAATAGAGCGAACGAAAGTATTGAGAATAAACCTACACTTACATGTTTTTGAAATTTTAACTATAAGAAGTCGAATGTAAAAAGCATTCCTTCATAGCATACCGATTTTCATTTAGTGGATGAAGAGTACCCAATCTTCGAACTCGCATTTCTCCTCGCCCCTTTACCCTTTGTTATGATATAAATCACATGAACCTGCGATTTGCCCGAGGTGTATTTCTTCTGAAAGAGAATACTTCCATTATTTGCACCATCATGGCGGACGGACACCATTGAGTGGATCGATCGGACGGGAGAATTTGCACAAAATCTAATTTATTGTCAAGCATTTCCAATGACGATAAGACAGAAATAAGCGCTGCCGGTCTATGCTGGTTAACTGTATCGTCGTGCACCTGTAAGAGGGGAAAATATAAAAATATAAATAAAATCAACAAGGCGGCCAGGTAGTGAGCTGAAGTTCTTTATGAAATTGTTTAAACAAGTGCAAACGTAACCAATCTTTTGTTGTTGCACGGAGCATGTATTTGTACTTTATTATAGCCCATTTCTTATGGGCGATATTTGCTTTAAATGCAATTGACAGATGGACAGAACGGATGACGGGAAACATCGATCGAGCTGGAACAAAAGACTGCTCAATGCGCTGACGATATGTGGATTCAGTTGTAAAGACAACGACGGCAAAATGTCTGCTGCGTTGCGTATGTTTACACGACAAAATGTACACCTACACCTACACCCCATCCCGATCGACGAATTGTATATTTAATTTACAATCCACATGTACATTTATTTACAATCGTGTCTTAATATCATTCGCCACTGTTTAAAAAGTCACTTTTTTTGTGGGCCCAAAACAAGTGGCTGGAAATATGATGATGACGGTGACACGATCGTTCCCAAAATGTCCTGAGATCGGGAACGGGAAAACAACAATGAGATCATTTAATATTTTTAGACAAAAGTAAATGCGTATCGCATCTCTAAAAGGCAGGTACGATATGCGACGTGCGATCTTCAACTCTGTTTTTGACAAAGTGATAATGATGAAACTAGGTCAGAACGTATTGTTCGGCCTTTTTTGCTGTCGCTTTCAGCCAGAATAATTCCTCAATAGTACAAAGGGAACTGGAAGCTGACTAAGTGAGGAATGTCTAGTGCAATTAACAACTCCTGAAAGAGATCAATGTCCTGCTAAATACTTTGTGTTGTACTCATCATTTATTCGGATAGCAAGCACGAGCACATATTTTTAGATGCCTTGGCATATGTTTTTATGCATTTTCTTAGTACTTTTCCGAGGAACACACAAAAGCCACAGGCACAGCTGCTTTTTCATATGTGTCGCTAATAATAGCATATCATTAAACAAGAGAATTTTGTTTAATGTGCAGAATAAATACAACTTATCAGCTTGAATGCGAAATAAAATTCAAACTTTAAGTCGGATGGATTTGCCATGGCCGCATAAATATCTTTTTCTGTATTGGTTCTCAAAAGAGAGCACACACAACTTAAATTTATGCTGAAAATAATTAGCGATAAGAAAATTGTGACCCGCTGGGAGTGAAAAGAAACCCTAACAGCTGATATGAAATAACTCATATTACCAACATGATAAGCCGTCCTTTGTGTCCTGTCATGGAAATCCTTATCTGCAGAACACCCAAGAAAACCCAAAACATTACTAAGAAACTAGAGTTCTAGCTTGAGATAGCATTTCATTACTAAGCATAATGCTGTAAACTTTGTTAAAAATAAAACCTTTTATTACTTTTGAATTTCGAAATCATGGTAGCAAATATTTATAATGATTGTGTTCGCTGTGGGCGATTCCGAAATGATAACAGGAATCTGCAATAACAAAAATTCATTCATGGGGGAAAGTAATTAAATTATCAACCCCAAAGGCATGACAGCAGGGGAATCTAATCAGAAGTCTCTGCCATAACGCTAAATTATATTCTAAAAGAAATCTCGAGTGCAGATTAAAATATTACTGCAGATAAACAGGAAGGGGTAAAGCTGACGGGAGTGTTCAGACTAACAGACACCTACACACACCGTCCGTCTTTCATCTCCCAACATCAACTGAATTGTATCTTTATTTTTCCAGTGAACACCCAGCCTAACTCACACCCATACACCCAAAACCTTTTTTTTTTGATGTGAATCACAAATCAAATAAAATATATATAATATTAAAAGAGAAAAAGGAAAATATACGAATAAGCGTCGTCAGTGGCGAAAAATATTTGTGCCAGCCATAAGATACAATATATCTCTTTCTGTATATACTATATAACTGTAAAAACCACTTGAAGCGTCGCCAGCAGAGTGGAGTGCGATCGGTTCCGTAGAGTCAAGAGAAGAAGAAAGAGAGGCGTAGCCCCGTAGAGCTCGAGCTAAGAGAATCGGATCGGTGAGCATTATTTTTCTGCCTCGCAAATTAGGGGCGGTGTTGGGGTACGAAAAATATTGGGAATGGCCCGGCTCGACTCGGCTTTACCCGCCAGAGACGCAGACTGCGGCAGCGAGCTATGCGGGTTCAAATGCGGCCAGCATGACGAATTATTACACACAGTCTCGCGACTGGCAAATGAAATTTATGTGCACCGAAAGAAAAAGTTTTTGCCTTTGTAAAAATATCTTAAAGGTAGTAGAATATCAAAAAAAAAACGAAGCAATGAAAATTTACGCTCAAAAAGATATCTAGATTTTTATACCACTTTGACATTTGAAAGCGAGTTCAATTCTTCATATATTTGCATACTACACTAGATTGCGATAGGTCTGTTAAAAGAGGACCGGTTTCAAAACCCAAGGTTAATTTTAAAATATTTAACAAATAGTTTACACCTACAACTAAACTGTTACAAGCCCCAATCCGAAATGAGTTTTAGTGAAGCAACATCTATCCCCTGCCACTACCAAGAAAGGTCTGAGTTCAAGTACCACCTTTAAAAATAATTCTTTAACTGATAATGTCAATTTAAAAGATACAGACAATCGATTTGAAAATTTTTACAGATAAATACAACGTTTTCCGAGTTCAACTCCCATCGCTTCCCTATATTCTCGTTTTATTTCTCTGTCAACAAAATTGTAATTCGATACTTTAGTCATGTAGGTTTAATGTTAAGTGTAATATTTCAAAAAATGTATGTAACATTTAAACATGTTTATTTGTATTCCAAACATGAGGTGTGAAATGACCATCCAATTTTTCTTTCCGTGTACAAGACAAAACACTCATACACTTAGTCGATTCATGTGGCTGTTTATACACTCACAATGCACATTGATGATGTTGTTGATGGGATTGTGATTCAAGTGAGTACGAGTATATACATAAAATATTGAAACAAGAAGGGAAAGGCTACCCTTGCAAATTTACCATAAACCGCTTAAATTGACACCGAGAGTCAATTGATGTGGAGCCATGGAATCGATCAAGTTTGACAAGATCATCTTAACCTTTTTCCAATTAGAAAGTGTAACGAAATGTTTGGGAGTGCGAACAAACTGATTTCCTCTATTGGACGAAGCAAACAAATTTCTATGCCAGAACTCGGAGAAATTCTCTGTGACCAAATGGCTTGAAAAATCAATGTACCCTACCCCGAAAGGGAAGGGCACCCAATAATCTGATCCCTCTCAGTGGCGTCTTGTTGGCCCAGCAGCTATCAGAGCTCATTGATCTGGGAGCCTCAGTCTCGGGAGCTTGTCTAAGGGGATTTTCAATGCGATAATCAAGCGAACGGGCGGGCTATGTAAGCCATATTGGGGATTTTCAAATTTTTTTAATGAATACAATAAAATCACGGCAACAAATGAGAAATTAGTGGCCGAGAGCGGTGTGTGTATTTTGTGGGATATGGGATACATGACATGCACGGAGCTATAGATATAGCTATAGCTATGCCCCTCCATATGTATTACACAAGCGTTTTTGTGAAAACATCGCCGTTGTCATCGTCGTCTGCGCTGTATCTGTTGCCCGGGCAGCTTTAAACCGGATCTTTGGTTTGAAAGTACATTCACTTTGCGCCGTCGACGCTGACGCTGCGTTGCAGCAGCAGCAGCAGCAGCAGAAGTCCAGGCCAGGCCAGGCCCCAAAGATCCATATCCATATCCATGCCCCAAGACCACAGACCCCACTGCAAGATCCGAGCCGAGCTCCAAACTCCGGCAAACAGCCTTCAAATGACAGAGCCAAACGACTCGGCTTAACTCTCCTCTCTGTATGGCATGGTCTATGGTCTGCACATGTGCATAGTTCAAATAACTTGGTCAAGTTGACAAGATCAACGGAGCGAGTGTTACCAAGCGGCAGCCAGCTAAGTCGGGTCTGGTTGCAGAGCGGGGAACCCCTCTGCGGTCCAGTCCCCCCTCCTTTTTCCAAATCAAATACTCGTACCAACAAAAAATCTATAATAAAAAACAGGTTAACAAATGTTGCCGCAACGCTGACGTCGACGCAGCTCGGAGCGTCGGAAGAAACTTGTTTTCCTTTCCTATGCGGCTCCGGGTCTCGAATCTCAAATCTCAGGCCTCTGGTCTCCGGTCTCCGGACCCACGACGACGTCAATGCAAAGCCGGCTTACGACAATCAACTTACATTCACTTCTCAAAGCCCCGAAGAGCGTGAAAGTTTCACTAAGAGCACGGTTTTCGGGAGAGAGTCGCATACTATCGAAGTCGAAGCCGGCTGCCCGCATGTTACACAGTATCAAGGGTAGATCTGTGGCTGAGAACCATGGGAATATTTCAGATATGAGGAGTTAGATACAACAACCCCGAACATATATAGTAACTTACGGAACCAATAACTTCTAATAACCGATTAGGCGATTAATAATCTTACATGTACAGTAATATGAGCAACCAATAACTTTAATTAAAAATTGGGATAAGGACCGCGATTAGATGACTATTTGGCATCGATTACTATGATTTATTGAATGTTGATAAGTTCTGCTTCTTCATTCCTAAGAAGTATCTAACATTCATGCCAATTCACCTTTGATTAGCTGTTTTGAGAGGTTTGTGAACAAATATAGTTATTATAGATTTAAAGTACAAACAATATTGGCAAAGTTTTGATCTTTCCAACTAAAACTAATTCTTTTTATTGTAACTATACTAACTATACGTCTAAAACAAATATAGTAAAAGTAGAAGTACAAGCAATATTGGCAAAGTTATCATCTTTCCGCCAAAAACTAATTAATTTTATTCTTATAGTGAGAAGAATACCTTGGCCAACTAAAACATTCATCTAAAACAAGCGAATATTTCATGGTTCTTCATTTCACGTCCCTGTTCGAGAACAGAATCCGAAAGATATATTTAAAACCCAGAGGGAGTATCACCTGTTCGAGCTTTTCCA